GGCTCTCGTTGAGGCTAAGCAGCTGTCTTTTGGGCTGGGGATCACCAGAAGATGTTGTTCTGATGAATGTAAGGCTCTTCAGGGGACATATTGGGAGAGACAGTCCTGCAGATATGTTGGTCCCAGACTACATATGGCCTTAAAGGTTAATACCATAACCTTGAATCTGATCCAGTACTCAACTGGGAGTCAATGCAGCGGGTGGAGCACTGGATGTATATGTGCGTGCAAAGATGTCCCAGTCAGAAGGCGCGCTGCTGCATTTTGGACCACCTGAAGTTTCTGGGTCAAATTCAAGGGCAGCTCTGCATAGAGCGAGTTACAGTAGTCTAGCCTGGAGGTGACCATTGCATGGATCACCATGGCCAATATTCAAGGGCAGCTCTGCATAGAGCGAGTTACAGTAGTCTAGCCTGGAGGTGACCATTGCATGGATCACCATGGCCACGAAGATGGTAAAAAGCTGATTTAGCAACATTTGTGATTTGGGCCTCCACTGAAAAGCAAGGCGTCCAAGGTCACGCCTAAACTCTTCATGGTTGGTGCTGGTATTAATGGTGCCCCACCAAGGGCTAGGAGTTGGATATCTGATCCCACTCTCCCATGCCTCATGCACAGGATCTCCACCTTTGATGGATTAAGTTTCAGTCGGCTCTGCTGTAACCAATCAACCACAGCCTCCAAAACCCTAGCCAGAATATCTGGGACAGAGTCTGGCCATCCATCCATCAGCAGATACAGCTGGGTGTCATCAGCGTACTGGTGGCAACCCAGCCCAACCTCCCAGCCCAACTGGGCAAAAGGGTACAAATAGATGTTAAACAACATCAGGGAGAGGATTGCCCCCTGAGGGACGCCGCATACCAGAGGGTAACACGAAGACACCCTCCCCCCAATTGCCACCCTCTGTTCCTGACCATGGAGAAAGGAGACCAGCCACTGCAAAGCAGTCCCCCATATCCTGTCAGCAAGGCAGTGGGTCATAAGATCATAACTGACCATGTCAAATGCTAATGTTAAGTCAAGCAACAACAGCAGTGCTGAGCTGCCTCGATCCAGGTGTCTCTGGAGGTCATCCGTGAGGGTGACCAGCACCATCTCTGTCCCACAGCCAGGGCGGAAACCAGACTGGAATGGGTCCAGAATAGAGGAGTCATCCAGGAAAGCCTGGAGTTTTCCGCTACCGCCCTTTCAACTATCTTGTCCAGGAATGGAAGATTCAACACTGGGCGGTAGTGAGCTGGAACCATAGGATCCAGGAATGGTCTTTTCCAAGAGTGGTCTCACCACTGTCTCCTTTAAAAACCCTAGGAAGGTCTCTGAACTCAGGGACAAGTTGATAATATCTCCCAGGGGTACCCGTATTCTGTCTCCACCAGCCTTTACCAGCCATGATGGCCACGGGTCAAGGAGGCAAGTGGTGAGCTTCACAGCTGCCAGGATCCTGTCGACCTCACCCTGGGAGAATATGCCATCTGACCATCCCAAATGTGCTCAAGCAATAGTATACAATATAACCCTTTATATTACCAAGGTACGTCCAAGCCTCTAGGTTTGTCTTTCCCCACTACTGGGAGTATTGCTTTATGCAATAGCATTCAACAGTGGTAAAACCCCATCCCACCACCTTTTCCAGCAGCATATGTTGATACACCCTGAAGCACAGGACCCCTACATCTACACACGTTCAACACTGGGCGGTAGTGAGCTGGAACCACAGGATCCAGGAATGGTCTTTTCCAAGAGTGGTCTCACCACTGCCTCCTTTAAAAACCCTAGGAAGGTCTCTGAACTCAGGGACAAGTTGATAATATCTCCCAGAGGTACCCGTATTCTGTCTCCACCAGCCTTTACCAGCCATGATGGCCACGGGACAAGGAGGCAAGTGGTGAGCTTCACAGCTGCCAGGATCCTGTCGACCTCACCCTGGGAGAATATGCCATGTGACCATCCCAAATGTGCTCAAGCAATAGTATACAATATAACCCTTTATATTACCAAGCTACCTCCATGCCTCTAGGTTTGTCTTTCCCCACTACTGGGAGTATTGCTTTATGCAATAGCATTTAACAGTGGTAAACCCCATCCCACCACCTTTTTCAGCTGCATATGTTGATACACCCCGAAGCACAGGACCCCTACATCTACACAAGCTTGATATAATAATGGGTAAGTTGTGTTGCATTTTAAAAATAAAACAGTTTTATCTTGGGCCTGCATTAATGATAAAATTAATCTAGTTTCTAAAGAAATTGCTCACTTTCTGGTTACATCAATCAGGTACCAACAACAGTCACAGGTAGTGCTAACAACAGTCACAGGTAGCATGTCAAAGATGTGGTTCCCAGTCACTGAGTATCACTGGCTTACTACACTGTACATGAAGCTGCCTTTAAAAAAATACCTGGAACCTTTAGTTGTCCAAAATGTTGCTGCCAGGAGCTGGATAAAAGCATTATAACATTCCTGTACTGCACTGACTGTCCATTTCTTTCCAGGCATGATTTTAAGTACCTTTAAGACAGGATACTTGAAGGACCACCTCCTCCTATATTATCCAGCCCATTAGTTAAGATTCTCCTCATAAGCTCTGGTCTCTGTACTCCCACCTGCAGAGTTGAAGTGAATGGTAACACAACTGCACAGCTGCTGGAATGGTGGCAATTCCCCTGTGGAATGCACACACACACACACCGAGGCTCACCTGACACCTACTCTACTCTCTTCTAGGGCAAAACTAGACTTGCCAAGTCCCACCGGGGGGTGGGTAAAACCCCCGCCCCAGAGGCCCGTTCCCCGCTGCCAGCGGATTGGGCCCCGGGGGAACTCCACCCCGACGTGCACGTCACCAGGAAGTGACACGACAACGCCGGGCACGCTGGGGGCGGGGCCATGGTCATCTGAGGTAAAACTCTATGGTTTTCCCTCAGATGGTCGTGGCCCCGCCCCCAGTGTGCCCGGTGTCGTCATGTCACTTCCTGGTGACGTGGATGCGGCACGCGCTACGCGATCAGCCTGGGACTCCCCCGCTGCGGAGGAAGGTAACACTTGGCAACCCTAGGCAAAACATTTCTTTTTTTAGGTTTTTAAATAAAGGGCTGATCTTTTTAACTGTTTTTACCATTTGCTTCTACCTTAAGGTCTACAGTCATTCTTCAAGGCCCTGCTCTGGGCATTCCCACCTTCTGAGAGTAGGCCGGTAGCAACTCAAGAGAGGCCACTCTCCATCACGGCACCCCAGAGAGACTCACCTGTCCCCTTTTGTTGCCATCTTCTGCCATCAAGTAAAGATTGTTTTGTTTCATCTAGCTGTGATCCTCCTCCTTGACCCGTTTTTAATTGTATTTATGTGTGTGTATTTTATCGTAACGTATGTGTGTTTTAACTCAGTTTGTTTGAATGATGTGAGTTTTTTTGGTTTTAATGGTTTTTAAAATATATTTTTTAATCTGTTCACCACCTTGGTAGTCTTAATGAGGGAAGAAGGGCAGGTTATAAATTTTGTAAATCAAATAAATGAATAGATTAAATCCTAACAAAATGGACAGAGGATTTAATAGGAATTATGCTATTTATTCTATTATTAATATTACTTATTTTCAAAAGCAAACTCTTTTGGGACAACATCACTAAATACAATAATCATATCCTTGAGGTATTCTTTAAAAAGAATATATAATAATTTTTGGATTTTTTTACTTTGGATTTCCCCCCCTTCACAATGGAAAGTCATTTTTGTTTTTTCTAGTCTGCTCTATAACTTTGTTTTACATTAAAGTACATAAAATGGATCATAATCCAAAACTTTCTCTACCTAGCTCAGTAAACCTTACAATGGTCTTCCAAGGCAGGCCAGTAATTTTATCTGCATATTGTACAAACGCTGCTGTACTTTCATCTAGCGGAACAGGGAGAAGGAAGCAACTTTACCTAATCCTCCTTTATCACTCCAGTGCCCTGCACTGTGGTGCCTTTGTTTATGAGGCTCTCCTCACCCTCAGCAAAGATGTTTCAGGAAAAAATGCAGGTTTGGGGAGGAGGGAAAAGATCCACCCTGCCAATTCCTTCCTTGAGCTCTGCCACTACGCCCAACTTTTAGTTTCTTTAATCTATATATAGTTAAATCAGCAAATGGGAGCTATACAGACATAAAAGAGATATTTCTACAAACCTGAGAAAAATCCCAAAACGAAAAAATGGGTTTTAAAAAACACAAAACAGAGAACACGACAAGGTTCTCCTGACAGGGGCAAGGCATGAGGATGAGGGTGGGGAAGAAAGGGCGACAGCTACTGACCTCTGCTGTCCTCTGTCACTCAGGTGACAATGACAAAGGAGGTAGCTGACAGAGGAGACATGGGTCCCACTTCCCCATGCTGCCATTGAGGTGTTCATACTGGAACTGGGTGGGAGAGATGGTGCAGGTGCTGCCACTGTCCCCTGGCCCCCTTAGCTGCTGGAGATGGGCAGGGAAAGGAGGAGCAGAAGTCGGAGTCAACTCCACCACTGAGGCAGTAGTGCTGCCAGCAGGCTGGCAGTGGACAAGGAAGAGCATTACTACCAGCAGCCACTGCTTGGTGTGGGCAGGAGAGGAACCTGGCTGGCAAGTAGCCTGCACACAAAGCAACAGGAGGAAGGATGGGATCCCCCCCCCATCATCATCACAAGTCTTGGGTGTCAATGTGAGAGAAGGGATGGGAGAAGAGACAAAGAGAAAGAGAATATGAGTGATGAGGTGGGGGAGGGAATAAGAGACAGAGAATGAAAGAATGGCTTTGCGAGAAGGGGGGGGGAAGAGGGGAGGAAACAAAGGTGGGGGGATGGGATGCCCCATCTCCCTGAGTTTTTGCAAGTCACCCCTTGTAGTATTCTAATTCAGGATGTTTTTCGAAATGAATGAAAACCAGATCAGCTGTGTAAAAAGAAAGTATATATATAAAAGAATATCTGCTTTCTAGTGAAATTATACCTTTTTGGAAAGTCAGATCTATCAAACCCACCTGGCCCTGAGGAACTTCATCCTTCTTGTCTCTGTCCATCATGGGAATAGGTTGAATACCTAGCTTCTTCATTTCATCACCCTACAATATTCAACAAACAAAAGGTTCACTGAAGATCCTTGATGAGATGGTTCTTGGTGAGGTACAAGGAAAGCTTCTCATTTATATACAACAAAATACTTAGAACTTGAATATATTAAGGAGAAGATTTAGAAAACAATAGAAAGGGATGATTTTACAACATATAAAGGCCTATTCTTACATTACAAAGTACTTGTGGACCATGTGTAACAATGGTTCTGTGCCTTCCAGGAGTCATGGTCTGGTTCCAGACTGGGACTGTGGTGTGCACAGAAAAAGGATTTAAGCCTCCCACCCAACACACCTGGGTTTGCCAATCTGCAATGACTCTATGGAGTTGCTATTTACTTTGTTGGCCTTAATTACAAAAGTGCCTAGGTGTATTTTTCCAGTGAACTGTGAATTGCAGGATCCTAGAAATGTACATCAATAGCAGGGGTCATTTGGAGCAGGAGTGTGGGGGAGCACCGCTCCGGGAGTCGGTGCCAGCCCCCCACACACGGGGGGGGGGAGGGAGAGAAATGGCAGCATCGGGGTCAGGGCCAGAGTGCCCATAGAGGCAAGGTTACACCATTGCCTTACGGCGTCAAAGTTACAAGAGCGCCCCACTGGCCTGCCGCCCTGCCCCTCCTTAGCCAAAAGCCCTGCTCCACTCCACCCCCGGTTGGAAGAAGAAGTGACAACAAGCACTCAGAGCACATATGTCCTGTTGCCGACCGCCTCCCCGCCTATAGGACTTTGCCTTGGCCCCACCACTCCTGGCTCCCCCAGAACCTGCGCCCCCCCGATTGGTTTCCGGTCCTGGGTGATCGTCCATATGAAGCAGGCAGCACAGTGAGTGATTCGTGGCCAGTTCTGCAACACTCTTCCGTGGCTCTGCCAGGCCATCGGCGCACCCTTACTGGCTCCAGGCAGCCTCGCTCCCCCTGCGGCCGCACAGCCCGGTGAGTGGAGTGTGATGCGCACTGGGTTGGTCTCTCTGCTGCCGGCAGCTGCAAGACGGCTCTGCAGCGGAGAGCTGCACTGTGTGCCTCCTCCCATCAAGCAGGGGACCGAGGCAGCCTGGGCACAGGTGGGGCTCCAGCAGCCTCAGCCCACCCCGCACCCCCGATGATCTGCCTGGCTCCCCCTCTCGCAAACCGGGCCTCGGGCGGGCTGCTCCCCTGAGACGAAGGCCTGTGCTCAGCCCGCCCCACCCAGGCCCAGCAGCACCCACCGCATCATGGCCGGAGCCCTCCCCCTCTTCACGTCCCCCGGCCATTGGAGAGATGTGTATGTGTGTTTCTGAGTGGGGTGTTGTGTGTGAGGATGAGAGATGCCCCCTTCCTTCTGGTCCTACCTTGCCAGAACATGGGAAATCTACTGATAGGGAGTCTGGCCAGTATCCAAAACTCCTATGAAGCAAGCCCAGTACAAGCTACCAGAGCCCCATGTCTAATTACTAATAGTCCTTAGGAGAGCTAGCCTCAGCCTCAGGCCATGCAGGAGTCCTGTTTGAAGCTTGCCATGCATTATTAGTAAAATAAGCATCCTTGCCTTAGTTGCCTACATATACCAAGTGTTTAAGATAGATGGAACAGTCTGAACAGGTATTTTCAACTCCTGTAAATCATGTTCTTGTAAAGACTAAAAAATGTGAAAAGACCATCCCAGAGCATAAAAAGAAGTTGTCTATCAACATTGTACAGTTTTATGCATAATTATCAGGAGATGAAAGCATTAATAGCCTTAGTACTTAAAGAAAATAATATGGAAAGAGGAAAGGGATTCTGATGAGTTAGGAATGGGCTTCCTGGAAAAAATAATGATGTTTCAGAATTGAACAATGTATAATGAATTCTCATACAGGCTGCAGAAGTGTGCCTACAAATCAAAGCAAAACAAAACACAAAAAGGTCCCCAGAATCCCTACTCACTCTGCCATGGAAGCTCACTGATTAGAGACATCTACCCTTACTGTCAAATTTGTGACCATTACTTTGTCTGATGCACATGGTATGTATATCTGCAGATCTTAGAGTGACTATTCTAAAAGTGCATTTAAATAAAGGACACAGAAGGAGACTGCTACCAATGCTCCCTCTAAGCTGTGGGTTGAGTAAAAACTCTACTTTCAAAGCTACTAGCATTAAAATTGTGAGCGAGCCATTTGGCTACTGCATAAATTAGTTTGCTCTGGAGCCATCCATCCTGAGCTAAGACAAAAATCTGTGTGCTGGAGACTAAAAAACTGTGAGCTAGCTCACACTAACTCAGTTTAGAGGGAACACTGACCGCTATCAATATAACCACTGGCCAACTCCCACCTTTTCCTGGGTTTAGCCCAGCCGGGGGCACATTGCTAGGGTTTTGTTTTTTTTTGAGGTACAGTGATCAGAACTGCACACAGTATTCCAAATGAGGCCACATCATAGATTTATACGGGGGCATTATGATACTGCATGATTTGTTTTCAATCCCCTTCCTAATAATCCCCAGCATAGCATTTGCCTGCCATCGCACACACTGAGTCAACATCTTTAATGAGTTATCTACCACAGCTCCAGGACTGAGTGGCTCTAAGTCTACATGACCCATGTCGCAGCGTGGCCCAAAGTGCAAGAAGTATGTGCAGGGTGCAGGCTGTCATCCCAAGCACATGGAACTCACTGCCACAAGATGTCATCTAGCTTGATGAGCTAAACAAATTCATGTTAAATAAACTCTTTGCTGTGTGTCTCTTAGCTGTGATGGTAGGAGAAAGTGCCGTCAAGTTGCAGCCAACTTGTGGTGACCCCTCATGGGGTTTCCAAGGCAAGAGATGTTCAGAAGTGGTTTGCCATTTCCTGCGGTGGTCTCCCACCCAAGTACTAACCAAGGCTGACCCTACTTGGCTTCTGAGATCTGACAAGAACAGGCTAGCCCAGTCTCTGTATTCCAGGGAAGGATAATGGGAACAGCTGATGGACTTTGCTCTGTCCCAGCAGGAGTGCTTCAGTCTTCTCATCAAGAAGTACCACTGCATCAAGTGGAGCTTAACTCTGACCAAACATGCTTATAATCAGGAAATCTGATCCACCTGTGTCTGTTTTGCTTGATAGCTCACTAGGATGGAAGAAAAGGGAAGAACCATTTCCTCCTTGAAAGAGCAGATAGCGGCAGGCTGACTATTACCGAACTAGGTGCTTAGATATTCTGAAACAACAGGTTAAATTGTTTCCCGATAATTCTTAAATATATAGGAAAATATTAAGTTTGCAAATTAAAAGACCCCCCTCCTCACATGCTGATGAGGGAACATAGTCGTTGCCCTGACATGTGGGGGGCAGCTGAGAGGGGAGGCTGCTCTGCTCAAGCACCTAAGAATTTATATCTTGATTGGGGAGATTTGGGGAGGGATTTCTCAAACATTTATGCTTTGTGCTTTTGAAGCAGTTTTTCTCCAAGCAGGCTCACCAGCTCTGAGATGGGAAATACTTGAGCGGTGGGTGTTGTCTTCTAACACACTTCCGGTGATGTCAGGGGCTGTGGCATACGCAAATAAGTTATGCTAGTGAGTTATGCTCCTGCACCTCTTTTTCTACGAAATGACCCCTGATCAATAGTATTGTAAAAAATGAGGTAGCCTTTCCCTTGGTAGAAGTCATTACATTATAGATGAAATTCAACAAACTGCATTGAACATATAGAAGGAACTGCAGACAAGCTGGAATGAATAAATAATAATAATAGGGAGCAGGGATTTTCGGGGGAGAAGAGGCAGGTGGAACAGGGTCCTTAACTCGTTCCCTGCTCACTCCTTTTCCTTTGCAGCCCTTCAGTTTCTTGACTAGGAAAGTCAGTCTCTGAACCATGCTGAGAGAGCTAGTGGTGGGGAGCTGCAGCAAAAAAGCAGCAGGTAAACGACAGTACCCTCCCTTTGATCCGATGCTTCTCCCCCTACACTCTTCCTCACCTCCCCTTCTCTGTTTTGCATGGCTGTGGTCAGACATGTCTCTAGATCTGACACAGCTGTGGATGCCTGACAGATCTGAAGTGCACGATCAGACAGCAACATCTGGCTGCCCTGCCACGAAAATTGAGTTAAAAGACACTGGGGAAAGTCTAGGCCTAACACTTGCAGATGGGCCACGGATGGAGTTTCCGTAGTCTGATCGCTCAAGCACACTCTCAAGTCATTGGGATGGTCTGCCCATTCCATCCTGACTTGGTGCTGTCCCCCCCCCCTGCTTAGCAGTATGCGCATAACTGCATAGTCCATAGGGAACCCTCCGCTCAGAGGTTTGATGCCTTATGTGCATGGGAAACACAAGGCAAAAAAACCCCCCAAACCCACTAGCTGCATAACTGCATAGTCCATAGGGAACCCTCTGCTCAGAGGCTTGATGCCTTGTTTATGTGCATGGGAAACACAAGGCAACCCCCCCCCCCAAACCCACTAGCCCAAAGAGGGCGTCTGGGTCACACAGTGACGGGCTGAGCCCGCAGCACAAAGGGATGTGTGATTGTGCGACTGCGAGTCAAATTCCACCAGAGGTAATAGTGGTGCTTCCCCTCCATGCCAAATGGCACATCTGATCACAGCCCATGTCAGAAACAAGGATGGGATCAGGGTGGATTCCTGTGTTTGCTACTGAATGTCTAATTTCACCCACAGAGCAAGGCTTTTCTGAAAACCAGTACAGTGCTATTTTGAAGGAACAATGTTTCATATAAATGAAAGGGTAAATAAGGATCAAAACCATTTATGTGGGTATATTTGACTGAAGATAGGAAGGAGACATGTAGTCTATGTGGTTCTAGTCTGGAACAAAAAGTCAAACAGAAGTTTCAGTTATGTGCCAAGACTAAGAGCTCAGTTCTTACAAATGAGAACTGAAGGAATAAATCTGTTTCTGGACTGAACCACTTCCTATTGCATGAGCAGCTCATATGAATGAATGCTCCCTCCCATTTAAAACCAAGGCAATCCTGGGTGTCATTCAGAAAAATACGTGTCTCCTCTTGTCTATGATATGCCAGTTTGCTATGTGAAGGGAATATTTTGTATAGAAGTGCATTCAATCATGTGATCCCACCTAAGAAGCTAATCAATAATTTTCAAATAACTTAGTTATTCAAAAAGAATTACTTGGCACTCACAGACTGTATACAATATTTAATAAAATTAGTTTTAATTATCTATACTGCTGTGCTCACAGGCCTCCATCTCGTGTCTACAGACGCATATACAAAACAAGTTGGAAAAACACTTACCTCAGTCCAAAATTCTGCATATATATCACTGGATGTCATTCTGGTTACATGCCACAATTTTGTAACAGAACACAAGTCACAAGCTGTCATCATCAATGCAATTACGCGGTCCCTAGAATGAAACTGGAAACTTATTATACAGTTTAAGCAGAACATATTTTGTATTTAGTTTTTAAATATGCCACTTGCAATATAAGGGCAGATCTGTCTATGTCAAAAAATAGGCATGCAGAGCTTAAGTTAAGAAGTTATAGGTAACCCAAGGAAAAGGGAAAAACGGATATCAATATTTGTGTATTCAGGGAAAATTCATCTGGACTTACAATGCAGTCCCAAGCACAGCTACACCCTTCTAAGACCACTGATTTCAATCAACTTAGAAAGCTGTTAACCCTGCTTAGGACTGCACTGTTAGTGGGACCCATGGTCATTCTTACTGGTTTCAGAGGGAGCTAAGAATGGGGGAGGGGTCTCCTTTTCCTTAAAAATGCAACCTGAAAAGGAAGACAACCCTGAATTTAAGGCTCCCCCCCAAAAAAAAAGTTTACATACATACAAACATATAGAATTATGACAGCACAAACTTAGAAGCGAAAATGACTGAACTGAGGCAATCTTAATTTGGTCACATTATGAGAAGACAAGACTCACTGGAAAAGACAATAATGATAGGAAAAGCTGAAGTCAGTAGAAAAAGAAAAAGACTGAACATGAAATGGGTTGACTGAAGAAAGCCATGGCCTTCAGTGTGCAAGACAAACAAGGCTGTTAGCAATAGGACATTTTAAAGGGCATGAATTTATAAGGTCATCATTTGTTGAAAACAACTTGACTGCACTTAACACATACACATGCTTGCAACTTGCATGCAAATATAAGACCACCCCCCTCTTTTCCTTGACAGCACTTCTGGGGGGGAAATGTCCCTTGGGGTAGATGCAGTATTTACTGGATGGTGTTCCTGCAACTGTATTTTTACTGAGATAAGAAAAAAAGAAAGGGCTTCTTTCTATCTTTGCACCATCACAGCACAATAATGAGCAAGGAGGACAAGAGTCTCTTAGCAAACACAGTGGGACAACAGGGCAGGGCTGGACCCCACAACTATAGCAGCAATAACCATTGCTTTGCCAGAAAGGTCTCTGTTACCAAGGTAGAGTACATTAGCAAGATCCTGTGGGTCTTCTGGTCTAAAGTCGGCAGGTAAATAATCTTAAATTCTCCACCCAGTTTTCCTGAAAGTGGAACTCCATGTTGGCCCACCAATTATTCCCCCCCCCCATTGTTAAATACAGAAAACAGTGTGACAGTGTAATTCAGCATTATAACTGTAAGTCATTATTTGCATCACTCCACCAACAGTTAGAGATAACTGGGTTATCACGAAGTAATCTGATGTACACCTAACTGCTGCTTTGAGTAGGGTATTGGGGGGAGGGGGATGAAGGTATTCATAAAAAAGAAGTTTTCCTAAACCATTACTTTGCCTTAGAAAAATATTCAAAAATGTCTAGGGTTGAATATGTTGTTGAAGGCTTTCACAGCCGGAGTTCATTAGTTGTAGATCTTCCAGGCTGTATGGCCATGGTCTTGGCATTGTAGGACCTGATGTTTCACCAGCAGCTGTGACTGGCATCCTCAGAGGTATAACACGGAAAGATGGAGTACTCTCTGTGTCAAGCTGAGAAGAAAAATGGTAGGCAGGTACTTTATATCTACTCAGGAAGGTGGGGTAGGGCCTCCTCAGGAAAGCCATCCATTAGTATGTCACAGCCTGGGGAACTCCTACAAGATAATGACTCAGCCCTATCCCACCTTCCTGAGTAGATATAAAGTACCTGCCTACCATTTTTCTTCTCACCTTGACACAGAGAGTACTCCATCTTTCCGTGTTATACCTCTGAGGATGCCAGTCACAGCTGCTGGTGAAACATCAGTTCCTACAATGCCAAGACCACGGCCATACAGCCTGGAAGATCTACAACAACTAATCTAGCATTGAATAAAGAACAGACTCTTCAGTTCACAGAAGGAATGTTTTTGTTCACTGAAGGATTCTTGAATGAATGGAAGATTCTGATTAGTAGAAAAAGAACCTGACAGTCTACCTGCTCATCATTTAACTTCCTTATAACGTAGTCAGAAATATAAAGTGAAATTTCAATAACTTTCTCTGTTCAATAGCAGGTAGAAGTCAGAGATTAGTTTAGATTTTGTTTCTGCAACCAAAAAATAAGTTTATACAAAGTTCTATGCTTATTGGTACTGGTGAACGTCTAAACAGCTGAAGTTAATTCGTGTCATATGACAACAGTGTTACTCATCCTATCACTCTTTAAAAAAAAAAAGATTTTTGAACAAATTTTCACATTCACAAGTCAAATTTTTCAGACATTAAAAATATTCACCCTGGCAAAACACCATTTAGACGTGAAGCTGAATTATAAACGTGAATTAGCTCTTTACCTATGTGCTTGATTTTTAAGGTTTAGTGTTCTTGTCTGATAAAGATCTTCTAACTGTTTCCTGTTTCCAAAGTACAAAGCAAGATCTGTAGCAATGATGGCTTTGCGAATGATTTCCAGGACCTGTTCATACTCCGTGGAATTCAAATTACTGAAGATATTGTGGCCTTCCAACTATGAAAATATAATTTTTTTTAAAAGCATAAAATTTCAATTTCAGTTATTTTAACTTCTTGATTTAGAACTGTCCCTTTGGATCGAATACAATTCTTGTTCCAACATCTAAAAAATCTGCAATTTCCACTGAGTAACAAAAGGCTATTTTTGCAAGAAGTACTGAAGCACATTTTGGCCTCTTACAATCTAGGATCCCTAATTAATATCAGGGTTATTTTTGCTTCTTTTTCCAAATTGCTCTTTGAACTTAACAAGCTGTATGGCAAACGGAACTTTTCAAGGGCAATCCAAGAGAAAACTCTAGCAGGTTTTTTCACACTGAATAGATCCCGGACTATTTTGAAATGAAATTATATGTTACAATGACACAGAGAATCCACCAAAAAGAGTATACCACTGATGAATACTCCTGTTCTGTTGTATAAAGTTAATATTTACTCCATGTTGTGTTTCCTTGTCCCACATCACTGCCTGCTGCTTGTGGGATAGGGGAATATACAACAATAAGATTATAATATGGGGTGTTACTGCATGTTATCAAAGGAAGGAAGGTTGGACTTAAAATGGGAATGCTGTTTGCGGAAACATCTCTTGTTCTTAATACATAGCTTCATGCAAACTTTGGCTTATGTAGCAACTAGCCTGCTACCCGTGCTTCGCTACGGTATTTACGTTCCGTAAATCCAGTTATAATACTGATGATGTGAAATTTGAAATGTGACATTTGTTGCAAGAATTTGAACAGAGAAGACTGTAGTGTAAAAAATGAAGTGAGACAGACGTACTTCCCCCCCCCCCTTTACTGAAGGACCTCTCTCTTGACCACATTGGTGGTTCTGCCCTCAGGTGCTAGGATCACCAGGCTGCTTGATGAGCTCACTCTGGAGCAGGCCACATAGAACTGTCCATTTAAGAAGCAGTCATCTGTTAAGTCCACTCCTGCTACCTTCCACGAAAGTGATGGCCTCCCTACTTGTGTTCCTGGATTGTTTTGCTCATACGAAGACTTTGTTGTTCTAAGCACCTCAGGGTGATCTTGCTGGTACAGCCTGTGCAGCTCAGTGCACTGCAGGAGTACTATGTGCAAATGTCTTTGCCACATTCCTAAGTTGCCTCCGCCTTGTAGTGTTGGTGTATCTGGCTCGACGTTTGCCAGGAGCTTTCTTGGGGGCAGTAAGAGGTGAGAGGGGGAGTTGATGTGAGGGAGTGGTGATGTGGTGGACATTTCTTCAGGTTCATGAGGGAGGCATGCATCAAAATGGCTCCTAGAAATGTCCTTTACTATCTCCCATTCATACCCTGGCCCTGCTCCTACACCTGACAGACACCGGCCTGTCTGGTGTTGAGGGGGATTGTATTTAAAGGCATTGGGGAGGCTGGGCCAGCAGCAGTGCAAAGGCAATCCTGCTGAGCAAACCTCCCCAGTGGCTGTAAGCATCCCATCTCCTCTCCTACACCTGACAGGCAACTGCCTGTCCAGTGCAGGAGGGGGAGGGGGGAGAAGTATTAGAAGCCACTGTGGAGGCAGGGCTGGCAGGATCACTAAGGCATTACTACTGAGGCAGGCTCTCTTGTGGCTTTAAGCACCCTGCAACCACTGCTACACCTGACAGACAACTGCCTGTTAGGTGTAGGAGGTGGGGGGAGTCTGCTGGAAGCCATCCCACCTCCTCTCCTACACCTGACAGGCAGCTCCCTGTCCAGTGTAGGAGGGGGAGTGGGAGGAGTATTAGAAGCCACTGTGGAGGTGGGGCTGCACCTGACAGACAACCGCCTCTTAGGTGTAGGAGGTAGGGGGAGTGTGTTGGAAGCCATCAGAGAGGCTGGGCCAGCAGCTTTGCTTCACCTCACAGGTGGTTGTTGGCCACTCCTGATTTCCTTAGTTCTCTGCAGTCCCCTGTAACTGTTGGGTTTTTTGACCTTAGAACACTGAGCTCTGCAGCTGACCAATCAGAGACTGGGGGGTGCAGAGAGGCAGCTGCCTGGCAGCCGCATAGAAATCAATGACGGGAGCACATTTCCCACCTTTTGACCCACTTAGGGGTTGAATTTCTAAAAATCGCTTCTTAGCATGTCACGGTAGGAGCGCTCTCCCCGAATCTGGTGTCTCTAGGTCCAGCGGTTTGGCCTGGGTGTTGATTTTACAGTGAGGGGACTTTCTTTTATATATATAGATGTGGATGTATACTCATATAATATTTATGCAATTTAACAAGAATTTATTTTTAAAATGACACATAATTGTGTACTATTTCTAGAAACATTCTTGGAAAATCAGGAATTTAAAAGATGCATCACACTATTTTTCAAATATTGATTATTACTTATAAGTATTAATGGAGGTATGTACACTCTGTAAACAGCAACAAATAAAGGGAAAAATTCACAGACTGTGATAGAAATATAGCTGTCACACATAGGCCCCTGCCACATGGGGGAAAAAGCACCAGCAAAGTGTGGCTTTTTAAAGCCACACCAAAAGAGACACGCGGCGGCGGGATCACATAGATCCCCTGAGCCACCGCACACTTTCTCCCCAGCACGATCAGATGCCGGGGGAGGGGGTGTTTGCCACTGAAAGGGGAGCCAGGCAGCCAAACTGCGCATGTGTGCACATGTACAGTTCGGCCAGGAGCCTGGATTGCTCCGGACGAAGGGCGCAGCAGCGATCCCACGGCCGTGCTTGATGCGGCGTTCCCGATAAGTCCTCCTCTGGGGGTGGTTCTTTTTTACTGCAGGTTTTTGGCCTGAAGGGCCGGATCAGGGACGGGTGCACGCCACTTCCCAGATGTTGCAGTGAGATCGCGTCTGTTTGCTGCACCCCTGATCCGTCCCTCTCCCGGGCCAAAACCTTCTGTGTGACCGGGGCCTAAAGCAGTTCTATCCATTCTCAAGTACTTTCAGGCGCTCTAGTAAATCCCACCAAAGAAACAAACATGCTCTAGAAAGATACAGAGCTCCAGTCAAATCTACTGCTCTTCCAGTCTGCACTGCTTTTGACTCAAAATTGCAACTTTGTACCTGCAATATAGCTACTGTCTGTGAAAAGTGGTGTTGCTCCATGGTTGAGGTGGAATAAAGAGCAGCTAGTGGATGATCAAACTTCTGAAGGTAGCTGTTGCTGTAACCTCTGTGATCCAGGTCATGACATAAACATGCAACGAGGAGACCTCTTCGCTGGAGAAGCAAGCAGGCAGGATATGTAGTTAGTGTTCAGACAGATTTTATACCAGTAGCTATTTCTCTGCACCCTTCCAGACGTTCATATTAATAGACAAAACACACCAAACAATATGCATCCATTGCTTAGCCTTAAATGGGGGAGACACCTACATGTTATAAATGTCAGGCTGCCACTGAAGATGAGCCCCAGGGATGAGAATGTATGAAATAGCCTTATGAAGACTGACTATTGGTTCATCGGGATTGCCTGCTCTGTCAGCAACTCTCCAGTGTCTCCATTAGGTCTCTTTCCAACCCCTTCTGCCTGAGATCTTTCAAACCGGAGAATGAGTCTTCATGTGTGCAAAAGATGCTATGCTCCCATCCCCTTTTTAAGGCAGAGGACAACTTATCTTATTACTGGGTGATGTCATATTTGAATTTTCCTATTCCAAACGAATCACAGACTGTAGTGAAAGGGGATAGCATTTGCTTACAAACACATTTCATATGTTAGAATCTAGGAATTAGACTAATCTAGAGGCATTTGTCATTGGTAACATGTCAGTGTCTATTTAAAAGCAGAAATGATAAAGCAGGCAAAATTAATTCCTAAACCACATGTTTGTATGTTATTTTATTTTTTAAAAAACTAAAACTACTTTAGCAGTAGAAGAAAGAGTCCAGTTAACTGAACCAGACGTACCCCCATTTCCCCCCAAAACCTTGTGTTTTCCCTAAACCATTTCTAATTTTATGTATTGCTCTTCTTTGACCTCAGGTGTTCCATTATTTAGGAACTCTTTTATACTGTAAGCATTCCATAACCTTTTATCTACTTTTGCCAGTTCTATTATATGTTTATATACAATGGTCACAACTGTATATGAACTAAAAGGTCAAATACACACCTGATTAAATGTAAAACTAGTAAGACCATTATGTTACTTTCTTGCCAGGTATTTCACATTCAACAACATTTGAAATGATTCTATATCTGAGATGCAACTGTTGATAATGAAACAGGATTTCAACTTACTTCTATGTCTGTGAAAAGCTCATGGTTATGCTGAAGGATGGCATACATGCAATGGGCAACTGTAACTGCATGTTTCCAATTGTGATAGGGCACACGGCGGTAGTTCTTCTTTACAGACATAGTAAAACGGCATAGTTTTTCTAGTTCGAAACTTAACAAGAAAAAAAAGTGATGAGATGCAGGAAAGGTTTAGACCATTAATCGAGTGTACAAAAGACAGTTTCCTTAAAAATGATTTAATCCTCCACCAGTAAGGTTACAAAATCTCAGGGAAACACATCTGATTTCAATTCCCCTCTTAAACACTGGGCCCAGTTACTTAGCATCTACTGCAAAGTGGGAAGCACTCTTGATACCAGTAAAATTACTTTCAAAAGCAAGCTATTTTGCAAAACATGAACCCACTGTCCTCTCTCCCTCCATAAGAAATATTTTTTTTTACTATTGCAGAGATATCATGTATTTAGTTAAAGTAAAAAACACTGACAGATAACTGAATGCCATTTCAAGCCACATTGGTGAAAAAAAATCAAAGCAAATTCTTCCAAAAATGCCACCAGGTCCGGTGGAAAATGGGAACTGTTCAGAAACCCCTACTCAGCCTTCAAACTCCAGAAGAAGAAGGAAAGCTCACTAAATAAATCCCAAGCCAGAAAGAGAAAAGTAGATGATCTTGAAGCTCTGCTTGGGTATCAGAAGGCTCACTGTAACACGTTGGGACAGAGCACTAAAGAAGTCGCTTTCTTAGTTCTTACTGGCTCCCTACTATCAGTGTGTCGAGAGACAAAACTAATTGAACTTATCCTGCTTTCTACATTTCAAGTTTTATGACAAGGCCTAAGCAGCAGCAAGGGACATTTCCCCTCCACTTTCCCACATGATTGAATGCAGACTTGGGAGAACTCCATTACCACCTTATGTCCCAAGAGTGAAGCTGTACACTTGGAGAACCTCCCAAGGCTTATGCTTTGCTGTCTTTATGTGCTGGAACTATGCATGCTTGTTAAAAGTTTTGCAAAGGGTCCAAAACTGTAATACAATTTTGGTTCCTTGCATAAACATCTACAGTTCTAGTGACCATGTGGCAAACCCACCGCACACATGAAGGTCCCTGTTGTCTTCAATGCAAGGGACTACTTCCACTGGGCATTTCTTGAGAAGCATCCCTCAGCTCCCAATAGAGGACAGAAAGCCCCTAAATATGCACAGCTGCATGTCCACATCAGAGCCCCGCAGAGATTTGAACTGTGTGCCTGGAGTCTTGGCTAAAATGTTTCCAGGTGGTTTCTTGGTAACCCTAATTACTTTTTTTATAAAAACACACACACAAATACTCATATTTTGAGGGAAAGTCTTAGTAGATAAAAGGCACTGATGTGAACCCAAGTTCTATATCCAAGCTAAAGCCACAGTTTCATATTTCCCCCCCACTCCATCTGTTCACAGCTGGTGTCCAGACTGAAAGGTCTAATTACCCTTCCTCCACAATATCAGATTCCACATAAAGGCTCAATGCTGACATCATAGCAGTGCAATCTTCGTTCTTCCAACTCCCTTCCCTGTAGCTGTTCCTGCATGTGCAAAACGGGGCAGACTTACATGGCAGGAAAGAGAACTACCTTGCCTCTAAGGTAACAATTCAAGTTAAAATCTAGCTAACACATTTCACAATTCAAATTTGAAAGTTTCCAATCATTAGTATCTTCAAATTGATCTAAGACCTTTAAAATAGTTCCACGATTTTTACCTAAAGCATCAATCATAAGCACATTTATTCAGAACAGTCCCACTGATTTCAGTGAAACACTTGCCAGTAAGTGTGCTTGCAATTTTGAGTATACTCAGATATTTAATGAAGTCAAAATTTAAGCATGGAACCACACTGAATGCTACCTTTAAAATTTTTGTAAGTCACTTCTCTAAACAAATTATGAGACCTATGACAAATAATTATGACTCACATCAGCATTAGTGAAGAGTACATACTGATTTAATATACGGAATATTAACAAACAAATGAATAGAGAATAAATGCCAATACTGGCATGTTAATATTCCCCAAGAGAACTTGGTCCAACTTGTAACTAAAAGTCTTCCATAAAACCTTCTTTCTTTTTAAAGATTTTTGATATTTCAGTTAGGAATTACTAAACATTTATCCAAAATGTTTATTTTGTGTATTTGTTTTATACCATGAAGTTCATGAAAGACTTTCAGGGGTAGAGTCATTTAATTTTTCAAAAGTTCACTTAATCAAATAATAGTAATAAAGAAAATCCTTGATGCTTTCTAGTAATCTTCTGTTTTAAAAGTTAAGTTGTAGAAAGACACCTGAGCTTTAGACTTCATTGTAACTTTTTCATTGACTAACTAGCCAAAACATAATAAGTACTTCTAATCAGTTTGAGAAGCATTTTAATGAGACTCATTTATTCGTAGATTTGATTTGTTATCCTTCCATATGATTTTACATTAAAAAATCAGATAGCATTCAAATAGGCCAAAACTGTAATTTAATTTAAAACTGATGCCAAATGAGAAAAAACCCTGTACATTTCTATATACAATTAATATGGGATAAAAAACAGGATGGTTTTGTTCTACCACTCAAGCTACTTATAAAAAATGCACAGTAATCATGACATTGGTTGCTGAATGTTCAGCTAAGCATCAGAAAAAACTGATAGCATGTGTCTCCCATAAAACCTCTGTGGTTTCTCTTATTAGAGATTCTGAACATTTTGGTTAAGAATTAATGAACACTTATGCAAAATATCACAAAAATACTAATAAAATTCCTATCCCATAACAAGCTCAATTTTTTCTATCTTCACAATACTATAAGCATGGCTGAGTCTTTAAGAGAGATTCAGTCCTCAATTTAGGGGGAATAAATATGCTTTCCCATATAAAAAGCAACATAAAATATAATTCATATAAATATATAAAATATAATTTTGGTTCCTTTAATTTTTTTCATTATCTCTGCAAAATGTCCTCCTATACACACCAAAGACAGAATTATTGTCCTCTAAGCCAAAAAACAATCTGAAAAAAGAAGAAAAACTCCCCCAATTAAAAGCTCTGCGGGGCTCTGAGGCACACATGGAGATCTGCAATAGCCAGAACTGCTCCATTCACTTTAATGTTCCTGATGCTGAAGTGACTGGGACAGTCCTTGCTCATGCACAGTTCCATGCACGTATCGGAGTTCCGCACATGCACAAGAACTGCTGGACTGGGGCTAATGTTTTTAAGGTATGCAGTACTTATGTGCAGTTGATTAGATGGATAGCTAACACCTTTTAACAGGTTTCTATGTGTGTGACTTAACCACATCAAGTTAAACACTCCAGGGCTACAACGTCTCACCTCTCAAGCACTTTGTGAAGCAGGAGAAAGGAGTTCTAGTATGCCTGCTGCACATATTCACTGCGCTGCTGGAGAGGTGAGAGGGTGTGTCAGCTAAGTCTCTAGGGTGAAGGAGGGATTCAGCTTCCAGTGAACATAAAGGCCTTCAAATTCTGAACCGCAGTCTAGCTGCTGCTTTAGATATTTCTTTATCTTTCTTTCTTCTTTGAGAAAATACAAAGGAAATGAGGCTTCCCCAAGACTTCAGCATAAAAGAACAGTATATGCATACAGAATATGATTAAGTAAATACAGTGCTGTCCCCTTCACCCCCGGGGATGGCACTAGCTTCCTATGACTGCTAATATTCATTCTATTGCACAACGTCTATGGGGATCTAATGATAAATAACAGGCATCCTGTCTCTGAACTACTACAAGAATTTAATCTGTTCATCAACCCAAATACTTGCTAAGATTCTCAAACTGGGCTAAGCCTAATCAATATGCCGCCTTTATGTTATTAAGTCCACAAACATTAT